AAGAATTCCCCGAAATGTACAAGTAAGCCTATAAAGTAATTTACCTTTAAGATAAAAATGCACATTTCCATCCTTAAAAAAAAAAAAAAATAGAGTACGCCGACATATTAAGAACGTGCACAAGATTAATTTGCCCGAAATAGAAAACTTCGTTGTATCGCTCAAAGGGAAAAGGAAGAATGGAAATGTAACCCAACATTCTACTGAGAAAGCGGGAGAGCTTGCAGTAATGAATTAGGAATTAAAATTATTTGACGCATTGAAAATTGATGGGTAATATTTTTAACAACCACACATAAATAAGGGATGTACACATGTTTGTGGTGTGTAAATGAGATGTTTAAAGTGCAGTCATACTTGGCTATGCAAGTTCGTATTCTACATATTTTGTCATCAAATTAAGGAAGTGAAATAGTAATCTATCTTCGTGTGAACACAAAACAATGGAGGGGTATGAACCAAATATATTTTAAAATTTCTAATGTTAATTAAAATGTTTTGAATTTATTTTGAAAGGTTTTAAGCACCGAGAGCGAAGGCAGAGCGAATACGTTTTCGATGTTCGCATTATGAGAGTAAAAGATGCACTGACGAAATGTATGGATCGCGTTTTGAAAGTGCTATACGTTCTATATTTATTGACGGTATTGCNTGCAACGATTGTGGGCAATCGTTTTTGTTTAAAGGTAATCTGTTTGTACACCAACAGAAACATGCAGGCCAAACGATACAGTGCAAGTATTGTCAGAAGCGTTACGTTCGTTCTATTGATCTTGAAGTTCATTTACGAAGCCACACGGGTGATACGCCATTTAAATGCGATAAATGCGAAAAAGCCTTTACAAAAATGTCCACACTGCGAAAGCATGCACAATTACATGAGGGACTACAGTGGAAGTGTGAGGACTGCGGGAAGGAATATTCATATGAATGGACACTACAAAGACACCGTCTAGAACATACAGGGTTGCCGTTAAGATGTTCAATTTGTGAAAAAGAATTCCCCGAAATGTACAAGTAAGCCTATAAAGTAATTTACCTTTAAGATAAAAATGCACATTTCCATCCTTAAAAAAAAAAAAAAATAGAGTACGCCGACATATTAAGAACGTGCACAAGATTAATTTGCCCGAAATAGAAAACTTCGTTGTATCGCTCAAAGGGAAAAGGAAGAATGGAAATGTAACCCAACATTCTACTGAGAAAGCGGGAGAGCTTGCAGTAATGAATTAGGAATTAAAATTATTTGACGCATTTAAAATTGTTGGGTAATATTTTTAACAACCACACATAAATAAGGGATGTACACATGTTTGTGGTGTGTAGATGAGATGTTTAAAGTCCAGTCATACTTGGCTATGCAAGTTCGTATTCTACATATTTTGTCATCAAATTAAGGAAGTGAAATAGTAATCAATCTTCGTGTGAACACAAAACAATGGAGGGGTATGAACAAAATATATTTTAAAATTTCTAATGTTAATTAAAATGTTTTGTATTTCTTTTGAAAGGTTTTAAGCACCGAGAGCGAGGGCAGAGCGAATACGTTTTCGATGTTCGCATTATGAGAGTAAAAGATGCATTGACGAAATGTATGGATCGTGTTTTGAAAGTGCTACACGTTCTATATTTATTGACGGTATTGCGATCCGCGATCCAGATTACAAAATTTTAGAAATTTTGCGATATAGATCACGAACCATGAATACTGCATGCTACACCGTCAATAAATAGCGCGATACTTGGATAACGTCAATAAATACTGACCGTGTGACGAAGCCCTTAAAGCAATTGGTGCGATTTGCAAAATACATTTGTAACGAACGTAATAAATATTTTAAATTGAAGCTCTTAAAAACACATCATTTACGTCATATCCATCAAATTAGTGGGAATATTTTTGACTTTTTGTTAAGAAATCCTCAAAAAAGATTTTTAAAATCGTCCGACTGGCAGAACAAGCGTGATGGTATCTTTAAATTTTAATACAAAATAACTGTATTTATTGAAAAAACCAATAAAAATTACATTAATTATATTAATATTTTTTGTTTTCCGATTTTTTTAAAGCAACAGGACTGCGGTTTGTAATATACCAATCGATAAAAATAATATCTTTGATTTTTTATTAAAAAAAAATAAGCAATGGCCGAGGTTTATTGATTTCCAATTTTCGAATCGTACGAAAACAAGGAAAGTTACACAAAACTCTCAGCAAATAAAAAATTTACAAAATTTGCATTTAATTATTTTCAACACAAACATTACTCGGACAATTTTTTTGGAGAATATACTGTGATAAACAAATGTTTGCCGAAGTTTACACAAAATTACACCAATTTTTCGAGTCCGAGTTTTCTTCGGTTAGCTTGTGGAACAAACCTAATTCAGCATTTTTCATCACTTAAAATTAGAAATCGATTCGTAATTATCGGTAGCTGCAACAGAAAAATCGATTCCCGTATCTAAGGGTTATCGGATTATCTCATCTTAATTTGTTTATAAAACTGCAATGGTTTGGCTATGGCAAATATATGTCGGGCGTGTTTATTGAAAAAGCAGTTTAAAGAGCTTTATGATTGGTATATGCCAATGGACGACATCAATGAACCACTAACGTTAATGGAATGCTTTCAATTATGTACACAACTGGATGTAAATAAGACGTCACCAAAGTCCCAAATGAAGATGCATTACTTATGCAAGGACTGTGTACATGAGCTAATAAATGCATTCAGATTCATAAGAAAAGCACAAAAGTCTGACCAGGAGCTATGTAGACATGACAATGGATGTAAGAATCAATCGGAACGTTTCGAGTGGATAAATATGCAAGAGTACGATGATTCCAATCGTTGCGAATCTGAGCAAGTATCATATGAAGAGGTATATATATATATATATGAACAAATGTGGGTATGCATGTGAAATATTTAATACATTTTTAATCTTGAAAAAAAAAAAATTTGTCTGCATTGAAAGCATTTAGCTATTGAATACTTAATTGAAGAACAAAGAGAAGCTCACGATTTAGACACTTTGAATAGTTCCCCCGAAAATCGGCAGTCTACAAACAACAACAACAACTCGGAGAATTATTTACTCACGGAAATGGAAGAAACAGAATTATGGCATTTAAAGAATTCCAAGAAGAATGTATGTTTAGAGGAACGCCTCAAATATAAACCCAACAGCATCGATGATCCGGAAAAGGAATTATCACGAATGGCTCCAGAAATAGGTAAGCAAAGTGCTACCAACGCATGTGGAGCATCTTCTATGATTATTTGCGAATACTGCAGTAAACCATTAAAGGGAAATCAATACAAACGACATATATCTCGGTTTCACCCCAAAAAATGAACAAATAATGCTTTGTTACGCATGCCGTAAGTTTGTATTAAAATAATCATATATTTATCGTATTTTTCCTAAATCGGTAAAGAATCGAACACTTTTACTCAACAACTACATACATTTCATTAGCTAGATAAACAAAGTTATGTACTTTCGTTATAGGGATATTTTTTTTATGAAATTTCAAAATTGTTTCTAGTTAACCAAAGGCGCGATCTAAAGAATTTAAATAATAAATTCTGCAATTTTATAGTTTCTGCATATAAAAAAAAACTGTGCATAAATAATTCCTGCCCATAAATAAATATATTTATTTTAAAGCCCTTGAGCTTGTACTTTACGGACTACTTATAGATTTCGGTAAAGCTCCGATTAGTTTGGTTTTGAATAATATTGGATTTGAAAAAGTGGTGAATGCACAAGAAAATGTTAACGCATAACATTTATTCAAGTTTCAATGATGTGTTCCGCACTTTTTTTAAGTAATTGTTTTGTGAAAAAAATACGGTTTTCTTTGTTGTTCAGCGTCTACCTTTGAAGATGCAGTTGGATTGAAGAGGCACGAAGAGACCCATCAGGCGAATAGAAAGAGGTCTATAAGTTGCAGCGAGTGCCAGCGAAAATTTTTTACTCAAAATGCATACAAAACCCATATTAAAACTCATGAAGAAAACCGGGAACCCCAATTCAAATGTGACCAGTGCGAAAAATCTTTCTTTTACAAAGGCGGTCTAAAGCTTCATAAACAATGTCATACTGGGCTTTCGTTGAAATGTAAAGTTTGCTCAAAGCAGTATCCGCGGCCTGTTGATCTTGAAATCCATCTAAGAAGTCATTCTGGCGAACTACCATACAAGTGTCCGAAATGCAATAAATGTTTCAAGTATGTTCATGTTTTGAATAAGCACGTCCGGCATCATGAAGGTCATCGTTATAAATGCAACTTGTGTGGAAAAGAGTACGCTCATCAATCAACAATGCTACAGCATCGTAAAGAGCACACAGGCTTACCGTTGCGATGCTCTATATGCGACAAGGGATTTGTAAAAAAATCAAAGTACGTTTGGAATAAACTTGTATCAATGTATATTATATTTAATAAGTTTCGCCATATTACTTTTAGGATGCGACGCCATATCGGCGGTGTTCATAAAGTGACGGATGTCGAGGAAATCGATCAGCTTATTGTAAAAGTAAAAACAAAAAGCATTTACCGTGGACGTGTAACGGAGATATAATCATTAATAATAAGATAAGATATAATCATTAAAAACATTATAATAAGTTTAGATTTCAATTACATTTATTTATTCTCAAACATAAGTATCAATTAAGTTTAACCAACATTTCCTCTATGTCGTTTGCCACATCTCCACCACTATCCTTTACTTCAATCTCTTTCATAACACTGTCCGCTTGTACTAAAGTAAGTTTTTTTCTATGTAAAGGTTTCGGTGTTTGTAATTTTGTAACTTTAAGGAGTTCCTCTTCTGTTAGATCAATAAGATGCGTCGATTTAAGGTGTACTTTAAATCTGTGAACATATAAATTATTTACAATTAATAAACTCAATATTCCAAAAGCAGAATTTGGTATACTTTTGCTTGGAGGGATATCCCCGCCCACAATAACTGCACGGAAAAGGCATTTCGCTGTGTACAAAAGAATGTTCTTGCAATGCTTTTGTTGATGTGAATAGCTTTCCACATTCTTCACATTGTAGCTTCAATCCTTGGTGTCTCCACATGTGTGTGCGCAGGTGCCCCTTTATAGCGAATTTTTTTCCGCACACTTCACATTCAAACGGATAATCCCGAGTATGGAATCGCATGTGTACATTTAATTCATATTGGCGTACAAATTGCTTCCCTGAAATTTTTCGTATTGTTTTTAACGTGCAATATCTACTTCGAAGTTAATACGAACCGCATTGATCACAATTTATTGTATCGCCTTTATGAAGGCGGATGTGATTTTCCAGAGCTACTTTACTGACATAAACTTTATCGCAATCGTCACATTGGTGAAGTTGTCGCTCGTTACGATGTACTTCACAATGCAAGCGCAGGTAGTGTTGTGTGGAAAATCGCTTACCACATATTTGACAGGCATCAGATTTGACACTAACTTCTTTGCGTTGGTGGTACTTATGATGCGTATTTAATAAGGTCTGAGAGAAGAACGTTTTATCTAAGAAGAATGCAAAAGTCACCATTGTTTAAATCAATCATGTTCATAATAGATTCTAACTGACCGCAAAAGTTACAAGGGAAGGTAATCGAATTGTCGTGAGTTCGACGCACATGGTCGTCCATTTTAACTTCCTGACATCGATATTCACATTCACTGCACTGTATAATCTTTGAATGATTGTTTTTTATGTGTTGACGTATTGTTTCTCCTTTAGTTACTTTTTGATGGCAAATTTTGCAAATAGAAGCTTTTCCATCAAAGGCTTTATGAGTTCGAGAATGAAGCAATAGCTTTCGACGAGTTTCAAATGACTGAAGGCAAGTTGAACAGTAGAAGGCAGAGTTCAAATCTATGAGAAGAGAAGTATTAGCTTTGTTTGAGCATAAAGTGCGTATTGAATGTTTTTTTTTTACCGATTTCATTATCATCGATGATGATTTTCTCTGTATTAACATCATCCTCTTCGAAACTCTCATGGGTTATATTTCCACCATCTATGCCAACGTCCATTAACTCCAAGATGGAATGCTTTTCGGCTTCTATTAATGGTGCAGATTCATTTGTTATCGTTTCATTAAGAGAATCATTATCCTTTTCATTATTTTCTGAATAATCGAGATTCAAGTTTCTATTCAAAGAGTCCTCTTCGATTAGTTTTATTGATAAAATAGGAGAGCTTGTATTATGGCTATGCTCAAATTTCGGGTTAAAATAAGAGCCACAATGTAAACAAAGCACCATCAACGCTAATGCAATACATAAATCTTGATATGAAAGTTCTTAATATAATCATTTCATGCACATTACCTTGGTTTTCCGTTTCTTGCGTGGTTATATTGTCATTTCGATCTTCCTCCTCTTTTAAAGTTGTTACGACATTTTTCTGTAAAAGCAATTAATGTTTTTGGTTATCCAGGAAAGTGTTTTAAGTCTTATTACAGCTTTTATACTTAAAAATTCAGCAACTTCTTACATCATCGCTGACTGATGACAATACTTCCTCATCTGCTACTTCGAATTCTGTTTCATATTCTTCATAATCACCAAGAAGCACAATGCTTACATTTTCTTTGCTTTCTAGGCTGCCTTTTAAAATTGTATCTGCATATACAGATTTCTTAATGAAGTTCCAAGCAACTTCTAATTCAAACCCGCATTGTTCACAAATACTTTGAGGCATTTCCTCTTCTCGATCAGCTGCTGCTAATTGCGTACAAGTCCGAAAGCAATCCATATATGTAGTAAACATGCTTGATTGATGAGTCTCCAAGTGGAAGCTCTCAGGATTGCTTTGCTCGAAAGGAGTCTCCAGATCTATATAGGATAATGAAGTTTTGAGGCATACTCGACAGATCGGAACTATATCCATAAATAAACTCTAGTTAAATTTATCAGCTTTTATTTAATGCAATAATACACCAAATATAAGTAAATAAACACAAGATTTACAAAAAATGTGCAAAATGTCAACACAGCGCCCTAAAGATGAGTATAAATAAATTATCGACCTTATAATCGATAGGAATTATAAAATACACAATAAAAAAATTCTAGTTCTTTTTCCTATTTTTAAGAAAAGGGTGTGAGGTGAAAAACATTCCTACCAAAAGAACTTCACACAAAATGTGACTAGGTGATTAAACTTCATCTAAACTGACGGCTATATATACGTATATCATATATTACATCGGAATGGGCGGGCCGAAATTAATGTTTATCACATGCACACGTTGCTAAACGAATACACTTTTGTTTAAAAGTACATTTATAAATTTAACATTAACTAATTCTATGTTGAAATACCATCAATTGCTGGTTACAAAGCTACTTATTACGTCTTTATTTACCACGTGTACATGTTGCCAGAGGATCATACTTGACAAAAGAAAGGTGTTCTGTGAAAAAGGTGTTGCGCCCCATTCCTTCGACAACACAGAAAGAAGAATTCTACTTAGTAAGGGTTATAATCCTTAAGCGCGACCAGAGGCCGCCTACGCAGAATGAACTTTTTCAATGGAAGCCTCTAGAGCCTGGGGTCCTCACCTTTATGCACAAGAAATATTACATACATTTGGCGGCCCTACTCTTGTCCGGCGATACGGAAAGGCTCAAGTTATTGCCTTCATCTACTCAAAACAAGCGGAAACGCAGGTAAAAATTTTGATTTTTGCCCATTTTTGTAAGAACTCCCAATGGACCTATAAGGCGGCTCGGCAGTTGGGAGTTAAATTTTTGAAAACGTTCATGCCCTCTCCAAAATGAGGTGTGGGATGCCATGCTCCCTCCCTTCCGCCCACCACGCACACAACGATCTGCCGTAAAGTAAAGTTTCCCTTAAATTGATTTTGAAAAAGGGTAGAAAAAGCTATTTCTTATTAAAGATGAAGAATTCCATACATTCTCTTAGGCTAGTAGTACAACTGAAAAACAAGCTTTTCAGGCGTTCCGCGCTTTTCAGGCTTTCAGCAATAGCTGACTTGTATAGTTGAAAGCCTGAAAGGCGAAAAAAAGATTATTGTGGAGTTGTACTCTAATAACGGCTGTACTACTTTGAGCTTTGCAAAACAAATTCAAATTCAAATAAAAGTTTAAACTATGGAAAATCCAATTAAAGTCGCATTTTTTCAAGACTAGCTGGTAAAAAACTAACAGTTTTACTGGTTGTTGTCTCATTTACAAAAATTCAAACCTGAATGAGAAAACTTTAGTTTCAGAAATCACCAATTTGATATAAAAAATCTTAAAAAATTGTTTGGGCTAAACATATAGCATTATAATATATTATTAATTCATAATTTGATCATAATTTGATAATAGTTGTGTTTTTTTTTACAAATTATCCAGTAACTTGCCAGCAACTCTCCAGTAACTTTATTTCTAAGAATTCGCTCTCATAGAAAAAATTTGCAAAAAAGTACGTGAACGCTTTTCCAGTAATAATTTGCAAGTTTCATGAACAGCTGATAAATTGGTTGTTTGTTCGCAGCAAAATCCTAATAAAACAATACATTTTATATTTAAATAGGTTTATTTTGTGAAACTCAACAATAAAAACCCACAAACAGTTTCCTTATTAGTTTAAATTTCATCCAGCAACATGCGATCAGCTGTTTTTCGTACTGGCAAATTCTTACAAGTAAAAATTTATCCAGTAAAATCCAGTAAAAACTTGCAACTTCAACTGTCATTTTTCGCTCTCTCAATTTCCCCTACTTTGCAAGTTTTTGCGTACGAAAACGCCAAAACATGAAAATTCGTAAAAACTTTTACTGGATTTGACTGGAAATGAGTAAAAAAAACGCAACTATTATGTTCGATCAAATATAATAAATCAGTAATTTTGCTTAACAAATATATTGTGTTACTCAATTAAAAATGACAGTTGATTAGACAGATTTCAACTAGAAAAGTTTGAATGTAATATAGAACTCGATATCAGTGAGCCTTAAAACGTAGTACGTTTACTTCTTGGGAGATTCTCCTTATTTTTAGAGAAATTGACAGCTCCTTCGACAGCTGTCAAATCTCAAGGATTTAATTTCACGTAAAATTCGTGACTAGCGTGTCTAAAAAGCTTATCAGTAGCATTTAAAATAACATATTCTTATTATCAGAAAAATTAACAGTCAATTTGACAGCTGTCAACTCTCAAAGCTTTAATTTGATGTAAAATTCGTGATGAGCATGTTTAAAAACCTTATCAGTAACGTTTTCAAAAAGATTCTCTGATTTTTTAAGGAAATTGGCAGTCCGTTTGACAGCTGTCGACTGTCAAACTTTTGATTTGACATAAAATTCGTGACTAGCGTACCTAAAATCCTAATAAATGGTATTTTCAAAGAGGTTTTCTTATTTTTAGAGAAATTAGCAGTTGATTTGACAGATGTCAACTGTCAAACTAAAAATTTTATGGCACATTCAGATTTAGCATAACAAAAATACTACGATGATGCATTTTTATTATAATCGTGACAGTCCTTCTAATTTTTCGCGTAAAACATAGCTTCTCCGACCACTGTGTCCCGTACAATTTTTAAATTGGAACTCAGCAACTTTTCACTCCAAGCTTGCGATTTGTACTTAGGTAGTCCGATATTTTAAGAAACGAATCATAATTGGTCCTGCTTCCTGCAACAAAATATAATTTTTGAGAAAAAGTGGACTTATCAACTTTTTACTCTTAGCTAGCGATATGCAGTTTTAAAAAGTAGACTAAACAAGTTTTGTAAAAATACCACAATTGGTTTACTTTTTAACTGGCAAGAATCTAATTACCATCGGACTGGTTCGTTTTAGGTGATAAAGAACTAGTCCTGAACCTGAAATTTGTTTCACTTGTTAGGATTTTTCATGCAGGGTATACTTACTGCAGCCACTTACACTATTTTAATTCCATAAATACATACAGATGCGCCTGTTAACATCCATACCATTTACCACACTTACATACATATGTATGTATGTATTTATTTTAATAGTTGTACACTGTGGTTCATTTCATTGAATTTAAAATTTATTTTAAACAATTTTTTTTCTGTTATTTTTGCTAATCTACAGTAAATAGTACATAGTAAGATACTCCTAGGTGCATGCGGGTGGTGTAAATAGTAACAAATAGTTTACAGTTGCACTTTCTAAATTTAAAACAAATGCAAGACATTCAATATTCAACATTCAACATTCGATAAGTTAAGCTTCTCAAGCTACATACTTACTCCTCACATATTCACATACATATTTATGTATATGTATGTACGTGTACTTACTTATGC